GCAGCCAGTTGCAGACTTTTAGGTCTCTCTAACCTAGCTTCCTCTTTTTTTTATTTTCTGGTGAGAGAAAGCTTAAAAAATCAGTAGCCTTTGTGGTTATTTTTAACCTTCTGTAGCTTGCCTCGGCAGCCATATGTTTTGACAATGCTCATGAAATTAGTTCTATCGTTTCGGTTGATGGCAGCGCTAATCTGATGGCTGGCTCTTCGTGGTTGGTGGCTGCTGCGGCTGAGCGTCTCGCTGCAGTGAGCTTGCATTTCAGATCTCCGATAACGCTGGCTCGCAGACTTTCAGCTAGTTCTTCTGTGTCAGCCTGGTGCCTTCTGTTCACTTGTGTGGCCCTTGTGACTGTAGTGCTCTGGATTCATGGATTTTATTCTTGAAATGCTTATAAGAGCCTAAGAATTTAGGCATCCAGACGATTAACCAACTTGTCCATAGTCATATCGTTTCAGTTCAGGTTCTTCTTGCATGACAGTTTACAAGGTTATTGCTGATTTTGACACTGTTTTCTATGTAAGTCCGTATAAAAATAAAAAAAACCTTTAAGACTGACAGATCTCCGTTATTTTGAGAGTGAGTTTCTTCTGAGCAAAGCCACAGTGACTTCTATCACTCCATAAGGGAATTGAAATGGTAATTCTGAAATGTACGTTCTGTCCCATCAGCAATTATTTCTATTTCATTAGTTCAATTCTTGTACTGAAAACTAAAGTTTAAATGCACATCTCAAATGTAAATCCTCTCTTCCTTTGTGTGCTATGTTTCGAAGGCTCTTTCTTCACCGTTGGGTCTGTGGATACCTCTGAAACTGTATTTTATTAGCCTTCCTGTATTTCTGTCAGTCACTGTTGAAAATGCTAAATAGATCCAGCCCCAGACTGCGTCTTTGATTCCTCTGCTGACTTAGCTCCAGTACAGTGCCCACTTCAAGGATAGCAGGATGGCTTGGCATTGTCTTTCCTTGTAAGCATGTAAGCATGTAATTTTGTCCCATTCTCCTGATTTTTTTACAGAAAGTTACAGAATTTTGTTCATTTTCCAGCTTAATTTCAATCTGTTTTCCTAGATAGGTTTTTTTTTTAATTGTTTGGGGTTTTTTGGGGGGGAGTGTGTGTGTCATTTAATAGCTGCTTCTAGCCTTACTGAAATGAAAGTTTGACTTATTTTTTTGTTGTTTATTTTTTACTTTTTTACAAGGACCCTAGCTCTTCATTTCCCTGCATATGTAAGATACTTAACAATTGCCCTGCTTGAGGAGGAGAAACTCTTTATAAAATGAATATATAGGGAAGATGCCAGGAGCCCTCTAGAAAGGATGTTGTCTTTTTGTGGCTCGTTCCTGTTAGTGGGTACACTAACATTCATTTGGCCACTTTTGGTTGCAAAGATGGGAAAGCATTCATTATGTTGGGCTCGAAAACAGGGGTGGGAAGAGGGAATAAACTTGCGTGATACACACGAAGTTGATACACTGGAACTGTAGGTTGTATGACTCGGCTTCTGTATGGAAACACATAACATTATTTTTTATTTTATTATGAGCCTGGCACATGTATGGAAAACAAAAGCAAAAAACAACTACCACCTTGTTTTATTTTAATCCTATTCAGAGATTAGATTAAAAAAATAAAACAGTCCCAAATCCCATGTCCATTCCTCATCCCTCCTTTACGCAAAGGAAAAAGAGCAAATACTCAGTTTTCCTTGACAGTGAATTGCAAATATGAGCAAACGCTAATGCTGTCAAAGGGAAAATTACAAATGAACACCTTTCTTCTGCGCTGAAGATCTTGGATGATTTTAGAGTTGCTGGTGATGATGGTTCAAAGCTTTTCTTTCCTGCGAAGGCCATGATGTCATTGTGTGACATCAGTAACTCTCACTTTCAGAAAGTTACCGAGCTGCCGGGTGAAACCTGTTCGGGGTTAGCATCCAAAGCCTCTGAATATCCTCCCCCACTTGTAAAAGGAAGCAGGCGTTAACACTCTAGTTTTATTACAGCTGTTCAAAGCTGTGCATGCGCTTTTGCTCGAGCAAGTACCTTTGCGTTGAACCAAACCTCCCTTTTATTTTTCTGCTTTTTTTCCCCCCACTTTGATTTAATTCAAAGTGGTGTGTTCCTCTCTTAGTTTTATTAATTATGAACTTATTTCATGTTTTTCTGTTGATTCGTTCTGGCAATAGTGATTGGTTTGCACCAAAGAAACAATGTTGTGGATTTCATATATATTATATAGTTTTTAAAAGACAAAAGTTTATGTAATTCAGTTTGAAATTAAAATTAGAAAAGCATGACTTTGTGAAAGGAATTTTAATTGTCTTTGTGTGACAGATTGAGTTGTTTTACATGCAACACCAGCTTTTGACTGTATTTCTTTCATGGTTTGTTTTTTAATTTTGTTCGTAATAATCTTGCAGTATTAAATGAGTTTGTTAGTTTAGAAACTGAATTTTACTTCAGTTTAAATAAATGTATAGACTAGGTATATTCCTGGGTTATGATGAGTGTGCTGTGGGTTTGAGGGTAGGAGGGGAGAGTAAGGGTTCAGGAGATAACAGCAGAGGTCAGTGGATCTAAAATATTTATTAAACTCTCCAGCTCTATGTGTCAACTAAATTCTTTCTTAAAAACAACCAACAGCCAAACAAAAAAACACAAGAAACCCACAGCAAAAAGCTGTTGGGTTTGGGGGTAATTGCTTCTTAAATGACTTCTAGAGAAGATTCACAGCCTTCTAGGACCTGATTAAGAAAGTTGTCTAACCTGCAAACTTTGGCATGTAACAACAGGTGAAATAATATGTAACAAGGCTTGCAATAATTTTTTTTTTCCCCGTAAGATTGTGATACAAATTCCAGTGCAGTTAAGCCAGCAGTATGGATGGCTGTAACAGTGCGTATGCCCCAGCAAGCAGCAGTTACGCTCAGGTGCAATTGAAAAGTCCCCCCTCACCCCAGAGCCAAGGCACTGTACAGCAGAGCCTGGAGAAGGAGTAAAACTATTTGAAAAGTGTTGTTGGCTCAGTTTTCTCACCCACAGGGTTTAACTTGCGCTATAAAGCTAAAGTTACAGATTAAGAACTATTGGGGGTCTTCTGACAGGAAAATTAATAACACGTGGTTTACTTTTTCTGAAGCCTGCACATTCTGAAATCACTGACTGTAAGGACTGATGCACTCGTGTAGGAATTTGTAACTCTGTTCTTTTTTTATGGGAGCATAACTCAGTAATTAAAATTTTTAACTGTTTTTTTTTTCTTCTTTAAGTGTTACCTGTTGTTTTCTCCTGTTCTCTCTCCCTATCCACCAAATCAATAAAAATTCTAGAAATTAATTACAATATTGCACTTTTTTTTTTCCAAACTCTGAGTAATTTAGAGCGGTGGTGAGTAGATGTGAAATGGTTAGTTATAGGAAATGCACAATCCCCTGTCTTCACCAGCACCATCTAGAAATTCAGTGTTTTTCGTAAAGTCTGTGTCTGAAGGTTTACCATTCATCCATAGATCTGTGTTTAAGTCTACTTAAGTCTACTGCTGTGTGTTTGAGGGGGAAAAGTCTGAAATATGACTTCTGCAAAGTCTTGTTCTTTTATCATCAACAGATGCACTTTCTTAGAGACACAGTCTTAGAGAAGGTTAAGGTTGTGTTCGCTCTGAGCTACAATGAGAATGGTCCGGTTAATGTTTGCAGATTGATCTATATATCTACCAGAGGCTGTGGGTTTTATTTCTAAAATCTGCTTTATAGCACCTTCTGAAGAAAAGATAAAGTTACATAGGCTGTATATGGAACTCTGTCCGAAGCCAGCAGCTTACAATATTGGTGCTTTTTATTGTTGCCTGCCTTCCTCTCCTCTCCTCTCCTTCCCTGGGAAAAAATGGGATGACTGACAAGTAATCACCCTGTTTTCTTTATTCCCCTTTAAATAGAATAATCTTCTTTAAATAATCTCAGAAATTCATAGAATTCTTGACAAGAAAATCTTGACAACAGTCAGGTTTTTATAGGTGTCTCTATATATTCTTTTTATCAAATTTTTAATTAAATGTTCCTATTTACTATTACTTTGCAGTTTGTGAACTGCTGACTTATTAAATGGTCCGGCTGTTCCAAGAGGGGCAGTTAAACTGTGTAACACATACTAGCTTTTTGACAAAGGAGTGGTTTGGGGTTAAATACATACCAGAACTTTGTAACATGTTTAATGTGGAATCTACCAGCAAGGAAGTATTTGTATCAAATAAGTAAATGATGGTAAATAAATAACTGTTGTATTTTATTACTCTTAGAATCTTGAACAGGTTCCAGATCATTAAAACCTTGCCTTTTTGATTGATTATCTGCAGCACATAATTTTGTATTGAGTAAAGAACTGAGTTTTGGAAATGCTTGCACTTTCAGGAAGTTGATTTTTTTCCTTTTTTTTTCCATCTTCCTCTTAGACTTAAAACAGTCTTGCTTATGATTTTGAATATAAATAGACTTAAACAGTTTATATTAAGAGATATGAGGGCCCTACGTCCTTGCTTTAGTGGGAAAGGACTCCCTGTTGCAGTTTATGTTGAGAGATATGAGGGCCCTAAAGTCCTTGCTTTAGTGGGAAAGCACTCCCTGTTGCAGGCAGTCACAGGGAAGGGTAATGTGTGATTTTGAATTAAAGACACCAGAAACAGGCCTGTATTACAAAGTGATAATTCTCTCGCATCACATTTTTTAAAAGTCTTCTGTTTTATAGAAAGGAAGTACTTTGGATGGTTAATTGTTATATCTATCTGTACTTCTAAACAAAATAGAAAGTGGGAGATGGTTTATGGAAATTAGGGTTTAACTCTTAAAAGCTGATGATGTTTTTCAAATATATGGTTTTGAAAGATTGTATTTGTCTGACAGTTAATGTATCCTGAAGTATTGCTAATATTTTTCTCATTTTTCTGCTTTGCATATTTGGACTGTCGTCTTGGGCACCTATTTCTGATGAATCTACCTCAATGCAGTTCACACGATTCCTCTGTGATTCCCCTCTGGAGGTATGTGTGCGTTCTAGATGCAAGTTTTGAAATGAACATATTCTTTTCACTCTGTAGACAGCAAACCATTATGGTGTAGGTGGTATAGATGGGTGCCGCAATATTTGTATCATCACCAACTGGTAAGAAAGATAGCACTGTCTTTTCAAGGAGTCTGAGGACTCTGTTGCTGGATAATAAGCTACCACTGCATTTCATATCACTGCATTAGGAAACAGTAGCAGAAAGTTCTGGGTCTTTTCTGTGCTTGATTTATTTCTATGAAAGAAAAAATGTACTACTAAATAACTTACTGAGCTGGTATTTGACTACAATCTGAGTTAAAAGTTTAGGAGAGATGCTGTTGCTTCCTTTCAAATAAGCAAACTGCTGCAAATTTCTTGCACTGTCTTTCTTGTTAGTTTAAAGAGTTAAGTACCGCGTGACTGTAATGAAATTGTCAGGTTATAGTAATTACGCTAGTAATTTGATATGTCGCCGTTTGAATGAATCCATGTGTGCAGAGTTTGTTGCTGTTCTCTGCTAAGTCCGCTGGCCTTTACATTCCTGAAAGCTGAAGAGTAATAGAGCTCATTAGGCTTTATAGGAAAAGGGCTTTTATCACCTCGTCAACTCAGGCAGCAGACTGCCATTATATTCTTAATTTTGTATGGCTAAGTAGATGTTGATGCACACTTCCCTGCCAGGTTTATACCAGTATTGTTTCTTACAGACACTTTTTATTGACATTTTGAAGCTTGAATTAAATTTTGTGTGGCACCACTACAGATGTCTTCAATTAGATGAAGTTAAATAAAAGGGGTTGTATATCAGAGGCCAAGGGATTCTTGAAATTCTTTATTCTGAAACAGTTGCCACAAGCAAATCTAGTAGTATGTAGTCTGTTTACTCTTTTGAACAAAAATAATTTAAAATCAAATTTAAACCTTACATGATTTCAATTTGTAATTTTTTGAATTTTTAATATTGTTATTAGCTGCAAATAGTATGAACACCCAAACTCTTCCTGTCTTTTTCTATTTTCTCATTTTATTAATCTGTTTAGTTTCAGTTTTGGCTATGGGCTCTGGCACAAAACATGAATGTTTAAAAAATGATACAGTCTGTAGTAGCAGAGAACTAGGCAATTTTCTAGCAGTAAACAGGATAACGTAGAGAGAACTGTTTGGGGTTTTTTATTCATCCCTTTGTCTTAGGAGCTACATTTAAACATTTGCCATTTTACCACTTCGCATGTGCCAATACTGCCTCGTTTGTAGAGGTACGGTTATAATGGCTCAGCACAGGAGAACTGCGCGGAGGAGCCTTAACCGAAGACCAGCGTGGCCTGGTGCCGTGTTGCTGCCGAAGTGAGAAAGTTTATGGAAGAAGGGCCCAGGGAAAATCTGAACTGCTCAGGGTGGATTCCTAGGTTTTGGTGCTCAGTGAGTTGGGGGGCGTTCTGGGCCAGTGGCTGTAACGGCATCGTTAATCGTAACCTCCGCGTTTTTCCTTCCCGAGCTGCTCCACGTTGTCTTGATAGAACAGTTGGAATGAGCCTCAGTACTCAGATGTGCCATGGCATTATGCAGTTGAATGATGATTTTTTTTGTTTTGGTTTGTTTTCAGATCCTTCTCTATCTGCTTTTCAGTCTTTTTCCATTTTAACTGATGCTATGCATTAAATCAATGATTTCATAAAACTGCTCTCAAAAGCATCTTTGTGAGTGAATTGCTAATGTATACCCATTGTTTTAGATGTGTATATAGTACTATTTTTTTCTCTATGTAATAATGGTCCATGCATTTATGAACACTTGATATTTCCTCTGCCTTTTTAATCACTCAATATTTGGGATCTATCTGTAGTTGTTTACACTCAGCTCTTGTTTAACCATCCTGAATATTTTAAATTATTGGCTCAGTTTGCTGCAACACTGTTCAGTCTTCAGTGATTCACATACCAGTATGGAAAACAGAATAGATGCTGCGCTACGGAAAGTGAGCTGCTTTCCATTATGTAAACGATCATTTGTTCTCACTCTGTTTGCTTTTAGCTGTATTGAGATGCTTTTGAATCCTAAAAAACTTAAAGGCGTTTGTGTATCTAGACCTTTGTTCTTTGAAAAGCACATCAGCTTCTGCTCCACTTTATGTTTTTTTGTTGATATGTGTTAATTTTTAGGGACAGGTAATAACAAACGATAAGGTTATAGGTCTGTAATTCCCGGGATTGCTTTCTGCTGAATGTCATATTTTAGTTACATTTGATGCACTGCTCAGGACTAAATCAAAACTCATTTCATTTCGAGATCTTGGCAATTTTTTTTTTTTTTTTTCTTACAGTGGTGTAGACATCACCATGATGATACTCAAAGTCTCCTGCTATTGAAGTCCCTTGTACCTTCATAGGTTCACTAGTCTTTTCAGCATTTTAAGCTTACCATCACTGTCCTGATTAAATAGGTGACAGTATACCTCAAATACTACACTTTCCCAATGAGGTACAGAAGTTAGCTCTGTAGAAAATGTCTTACATTGTGATGCAGTGAGCTGATTTACTTTTGTTTTGTTAGGGGATCACAGAATTTTCCAGGTTGGAAGGGACCTCTTGCGATCACCTAGTCCAGCCCCCTTGCTCAAGCAGGGTCAGCTAGAGCAGGTTGTCCAGGATTACGGATTTTGAGTATCTCCAAGGATGCCATGGGCTCTCTGGCCAGCCTATGCCGTTATCTGATTGCCTTCTCAGTTAAAACCTGATTCCTTCTGTTCAGGTTGAATTTCACATGTTTCAGTTTGCACGCATTGCTGCTTGTCCTGTCAGTGGTAACTACCGAGAAGAACCTGGCTCCCTTATCTTCATTCCCTCCCATCAGGTTATTTCTACATCCTGATAAAACCTCCCCCTGCGTTGTCTGCTCTCAAAGCTGAAGAGTCCCAGCCTTCTCAAGCTCTCCTTATACCTCAGATGCTCGAGCCCCTTAATCATCTTTATGGCTCTTACGGACTCGCCCCAGTAAGTCCTTATTTTTCTCATACTGGGGAGCGTAAGACTGGACCCAGCACTGCTGATGCAGCCTCACCAGTGCTGAGCAGAGAGGAAGGCTCACCTCCTTCATCCCACTGGCATTGCTCTGCCGGGTGCAACGCAGGATGCTGTTGGTCTGTTTTGCTGTGAGGGTGCATTGCTGGCTTTTTTTTTAATGAAAACATGCAGTGCTACCTCTCTGCTGACACAGCCTATATTTGTAGGCTGCTTTCACAGCATCTCCACTAATCCCTAGTGAAAGGAAGATGTAGTAGTGAAAAGGAAATATGTTCCTAACCAAGAGATAGAAATCAACCATATGGTAGGTTGTGTGTGTGCCTTTGGGAAAGGAACTGCTGGAATTAATCACTTCACTTCTTCGCCAAATAACTTCCATTGGAGTGTAGAAGTCAAGGGTTTCCTGGCTCTTTTTTTTTTTTTTTTCTTCTCCTTTGTGTAAGGGATAGCATGGATTTCATATCTTCCTCCTTCCTTCATCCACAGCAGAGGGTAGAAGGGTAAAGTTCAAAATGGGAAATTTCATTAAACCTTCCAGAGAAAAAAATAACCATGCAGTTAGTATGGTCAGGACCCATTTTTGGCTGGTGGGTATGCAGTGCCTCCTGCAGTTGCACACTGGGCTGGCATGCGGGTTAACAAGTGCAGTTTCCATTACAATAATAATAATAAAGTAGTAAAACATCTCTTAAAAACAAAGAGAAAGACCAATGTGCTTTGAAGAAAACTTTATGGGTAGATAAGGTAAGCCCTCTCTGGTGGGGTTTGCTCACCTGATGTCACTGGTGTATTTTACAGACAAACACGGTCCCAGGTGGACATGGGGATAGTATGAAATGGTATAACTTGCTTCAGGAAAATGTTTAATGTTCTAGACCTGCTTCACATCAAATTGCCTGGATGGTACATGAGAAATTATGTTAAAGGAGCCAAGTATTCATTGAGAAACTGGAGAAAATAAAATACCTACAAGCATTACAAAGGATTACATTGTATGAAAACTTTTCAAGGAGGAGGAAAATGTTACTCTTTTTAAAATGTTATTTACTTAATGTAATGGAAATCCCTGACCGTTTTGCCTGAAGTCAGTGCTGTGCTTACTATGTTTGTTGCAGAACATAACCTCTTTTATGCTCAAGACATTTCATTGTAATTGCATTAGTGAAATAACTGTAGTTTATACTTTACTAGAAGTTTGTAACTGATGCTGATGCTTCAGTTTGCAGAGGTCTGGTGGCTGAATGAACCCATGTGATGCCATTTGGAGGTTTGAGGTCACACACAGACACAGCATTTGTTTGACTTCAGAAGACTTTGCTTTGAGTGAAAATCTTTTCCATGTTGGCTTAGACTATTTTTTTAACATTCATTAAATCCTGTATGATAAGTTTTTGACAAAGAAAGAAAGAAAATCTGTTTTAACTGAAACTTATTTAAGCAAGTCTGTGTTATATTACCAATCACGTTTCCCCTTGGACATGGCAGGAGATGTTTCATTTTTTCTGTCACTGGCTGCACCCTGGTAGCTGAGAGAACTTAACCTGTGCTGAGAAATCCCTCGAGAAAATCTCTTACTTGACTGTGTCCCAGCTTAAGAGTTTTACTAGTGACCATGTGATTTCATTTGGCTCTACTGAAAAGTTGAGGATATTGTATGAAACCATAACTGTTGAACAAGTAGGCTTTACCTGAATGAGAAGAAACTCAGTTTAATATGCTAGTATCAGAGCCTAATATCCTTGTATACTGCAGATTGAGCTCTCCAATGTTTGATCATTTCATTTTTACAGTCTCTGTAGCTCCATATCTAGTTTTATGCTATGTAACCATATGAAAATGCAAACATTTTATTATATGGCCTTTATTTTGTGACTTATTGGTTGGGTAAGTCAGTTAAAATGATTTTTGTTCACGTGGTTGATTTCTTTTGACACATGTGGTACTAATCAGAATAACTTCTACTGCCCATCATCTCTTCAGTCTGTGCTACTGTATCAAAATACTTGATTAAACCCACCTTCTGTTGTTGTAATGCAAAACAGTTGGTAATAGCAGGCAATATTGTCAGATTTATTGAGTGAGAAGCAGCTTTCTGAAGATCTGGCAATGCAGTGAAAAACACGACTAGATGGATAATTAAGTTGAGCATGGTGGAATTCAGGATTAAAGTAAACTTGACGTGGGAGAAAATCGCATGCCAAAGTTGGTTGTGTAATACAGTTTAAATTAGGAGATCATTTTCTTCTTAATTTGAAGCATCAGTTTCTAGCTCTAGGTGCTTTACCCCATTCAGAGGCATATTTCAGTGCACATCCAAAACCACAGTACCCAAGAGTAGCGAGTTCCTTGGGGTTTTTTGCAGAAGATACTCTGATGTGGGCTGACAAAGAAGCAGCTCCACAGTTTCTGTTGCAACAGAGAGTTTCAGGTTCTTAGATAAAAGTTGTTTTGTTGGTCATAGAGAGTAAACCTTATAAAGAGTAAACCTTACCTCTTTTTACAGATGTTCTTCTCAAGGAACTTTAATGGCCACTCTGAGGAACTGAATTTCTGTGGCCAAAGTGCTTCCAGTACATGGGGGCAGGGGGGAGAGAAACAGTAGGGTCATTGCCATGGCACAAAATGTTGGAGGAACTAGGCAGTCGAGCCAGCTTTGGGAAGTGCCAGCACAGTTCAATGTAATGTCTGCATTTCATCTTTCTGCCTCTGGGCCAAAGTATGAAAAATACATATACAGTGATACAGTGAACTAACTTTGTTTTCCCTACTTCTCAAATTCCTTTTTTACTTTTTCTAAACATGGATAGCAGGAGTAATTTCTCACAGTATTTGCTTTTGTCTTAAAATTCTTTCTAAAATTGTTTTTATGCTGGAAGTCTACCTGTCTGACAGTTACATCCCTCTTTTGGTTTTGCTTAGGCAGAGAATGCACCAAATGGACCAGAATGTGGCTATGGTTCTTTCCACCAGCAGTATTGGCTGGATGGGAAGATAATTGCTGTCGGTGTAATTGATATCCTGCCCTACTGCGTGTCCTCAGTCTATCTGTACTATGATCCAGACTATTCTTTCTTATCTTTGGGAGTCTACTCTGCATTACGGTAAGAGGACATTTTTGTTATCTGGTTAGACATAGTAGTAAGAACTGATACTTGTTCCTAAACTTGAGCTTTTATTTCCAGTCTAAACATACACTGGTAGCACTATCTCTAGCAAAGTATTTGTGTCTTTTGGTTTGTTCTTTTATTTTTAATTCTCCATGGTTGGTTGCATTTCAAATAAATTTTCAATTATCATCTTCGAATAGGCATGTATCTTACTAGTTAGCTAAATACTTTTAAAGATTAAAAACCACTCGGAAAAGCCCCTTTTTTGTTTGAATAGAATTAATTTTTCCTTTGCCTATTTTCCTTAGCCCAGTCACCAAATGAAACGTATCCACATATGAGGTCATAAATAATAGAGTACCTAAACCCCGTTGTCTTCTGAATTAGTAGTCTCCTGCTGTACTAGCCCTAAGTATATTTTTTAGGTATGTTAATCTCATTATCTTTGTCTTCAGAAAGTCTGGTGGAGAGAGTAATCCTATGAATTTTAAAGGCTTAAATTAACTATCAACATAGTCTTGCAAAACAGTAGGAATAGTGAGTAATGGTTTTCGCTGTGAATGCGACTTGTATGCTAAAGTGCGAGTTACTGTTTTTCTTCCACAAGCAATTTTGTGATTCCATCATTATTACAAGGGAAAAACCCTGAAAGAGTGGGAATATTTGAGCATCTCAATTTTTTTCTTAGCTTTTTTGCTTCTCTGTTCACATGAAGTAAGCTGGTCACAGACATGTAGTGTTCCCAGGGAGGTTCTCATGGAGCAGCTGTGTTTGAACATTGCCAGACATGTCTGTTTGCAAGTTTCCCTAGGTCTGAGA